TAACTATTAACAACTACTACTACTAACCACTACTACTTACTAACTACTACTATTTACTAACTACTACTACTACTAACCCTACAACTAACACTACTAACTAATACTACTAACCACTACTACTTACTAACTACTACTATTTACTAACTACTACTACTACTAACCCTACAACTAACACTACTAACTACTACTACTAACACTACAACTAACTACTACTACTACTAACCCTACAAGGGTAGGGCTTACCTTGGCGGCAAGAACGACAAGAGCGAGGGCCGACGACGACGGCGGGGATGACCGCAGCAGCGCGAGAATCAACGGGCGGTCGGAATGAAGCGAGGATCGACGGGCGGTCGGGTCGGCACCTTCCTCTTCTTCCTCCTCCCCTTTCTCTTTCTTCCTCTTCTTCCTCCTCCCCCTTCTCTTTCTTCCTCTTCTTCCTCCTCCCCCTTCTCTTTCTTCCTCTTCCTCCTCCCCCTTCTCTTTCTTCCTCTTCCTCCTCCCCCTTCTTTTTCTTCCTCTTGCTCCTCTCCTTCTCCTCTCTGCCTCTTGGCCAGGCACGCACTGCTGCCGGGCGCCATGAGCTCGGGGCATGGGTGGCAGGGGCCGGGACGGGGCGTGGGGCCACAGGGGCTGGACGGGCGCTGGGTGGGCCAGCAGAGCTCACTTGGCTAGAGGGGGCGGCGATGGCGGGAGGGCGGGCGTGGGGCGGCAAGGGGCGGCGGCGGCAGGACGCTGGGGGCGGTGGGTGGGAGAGGACTGGGGAGGGGGTCGGTTGGGGTGGCCCGTTCTGGGCCTTTAGGTTAGAAGCTTTGCCGAGTGCCGGGCCCAGCGGCACTTGGCAAAGGTTTTTGCAATTTTTTAAAAAAATTTTGCCGAAAGCATACGAGAGACTGGCGCTCGGCAAAAAGATGATCTTCTTAGAGTGCTAAGCTTGGCACTCAAAGAAATTAAATTTTTTTTGTGTTTTTCTCCCATTTTTCCTCAATGCCTTGCTACACGAAGAATTGAAACTCCATTTCAAATTTTGGGACAATTTTGAGTTTTTTTACTATATTTCCTTAATTATTTTTGTTTCATTGAATTTTTCTGACTATTTCAAATTTGAACTGCATGTACATGAAATAATGGAATTTGATCATTCAAAAAATGGTATTCATGATGTTTGGCGTATATTGAGGCCGTATCCAGGAACTCGCATGAAATTATGAGCATCTTGTTGTCGTAACATGGCGATGTACTTGCGGTAAAAGTGTATTTAAATTATATAAAATCCAAACGAAGTCCGAAAATCATGAAACTTGTCGAGGTGTCTTGTTATCGCATGTGGAGGGCGTGGTAAAAAATTGAGAAAGTTTGAAGCAAGTTGTGACGTCGGATGCCTAAAAGCCAAACATCTCCACATGTGATCAAGAGTTTATATCAAGAGAAATAAGAAAAATCTAATTAAGTGGACCCGGTCAGAATGTGGCTTGGATTAAAAGAGTTTATATCAAGAACAACAACAACAAAAAAACAACTCAAATTAAAAAAAATCAAAGAAATTTATCAATTGGATTGTATAGGACACGAATTATTCCACGACACAAAATAGATATATATCTATATAGATTCCAAAGAAAAGTTATATGAAGCTAAGGCATATATATATATATATGCCTTAGCTTCAAATAACTTTTCTTTGGAATCTATATAGATATATAGGGAGAGGCTATTCAGTAGCCGGCTACAAAATAAGTTATTCTGTAGCCACCTCCATTTACGATAATTTTATATACTAATTTACCATAATGTCAATACATATTTACGATAGTTGGGTTACTATAACACATGTGCATATTTACCACAACGTTATAGTAAACCACTTAGTAAGGAGTTACTATAATCTCGTAAATTAACATAGTAATTATCGTAACTCAAAGTGGCAACAGAATAAGTTATTTTGTAGCCAGCTACAGGACAGTAGTTCTATATATATATATATATATATATATATATATATATATATATATATATATATATATATATATATATATATATAGAACTACTGTCCTAACCAAGTCACCCAAACTCCAACTAAAACTTTACTCAAATAAACCTATACATAGCTATCTAGGAGCCTGTTTGGTAGCGCTCCTACCGCTCCACGTGAGAAGCCGAGGAGCATTGCCAAATGCCACCGTTCCCCACTTCCCCCTTCGTAATCGCTCCGACAACTCCTCTTGTTTTGCACTGCGTGTGGGGAACACAAAAAACCCGCTCCCCACGCTCCGCTTCCGCTCCGCCTCCCCTGCCCTCCTCTCGCCGCCTCCCCCACTGTCCCCAGCAATCCTCCTGCCACGCACTTCCTCAAGCTGAGCCGCCCTTCTTCCCCTCGTCTGCCACCTTTCTTTCCTGCACTCGTAATATCCATCCCATCGTCTCCGCGTTCACCAAGATCTGTGGTGCTCCTCCTCCATGGCCATGGTGGTGCCCCTTTTCATGGTCTGCGCCTCCTCCTCGTGCTCACTCGGTTTGCTCTTCCTTCGCTGTTGCTGGAGCTGGAGTTGTCGTGCGAGCGCTACCAAGTGTCGGAGTCATGATACCTCGGATATTTCAAGACACCGATAAGTTAGCCACTCGGGCAGCCCAGCCAACAAGAACCTAACCGCCATGGCCAAACAAAGCCACACGGGCCTTAGGACACACGCCAGAGCAAGTGGTCCACCACGACCTCTCACCTCTCCTTCCGCTGCACGCGATGCAGCAGCAAAGACCTCTCCTCTGTCTCGACCCCTATGAGGGATGAAAAGGGGTCGGGTGCCATCAAGTACACCTGACCTAACAAGGACATGCACGCTCCCCTCACTCCGCTAGGACTGAGGGGACAGTCATCAAGGGGCAGACGCCATCCCTGCGCGCCTCTGCGTAGACAAGACAACACCGCGGGGTGGTGACGACTGGTACAACACCGCACCGTCTAAATCCAGCCCAAGAAGATGGGCATACAGCTCCACCCACTATGGGATGGGGCGCATGTCCCTGGCCATGACTTTCATGACCGGCCAGGACACCAGAAGCTCGACCTCATAATCTGGGGTCTAGGGCATCGGCATCACGACCTGCAAAGGCAACCGACGACCCAGGAGCGGCTACCTTCTCCCGCACTGTCGCCACGACGCCACCAGAAGAATAGAAGACAACGACGAAGGCCACGACAAGATCACGTCGCCCAGGACAGTTGGCGAACCACCTCCGTTCCAACAGTGCCGCTGTGGGCCGGCACTGTAGCATCACGCCACTCCACGCCACGACGTGCGAACAAGATCATGACGACGACCATACCAGAACCTGCCATGATGCCAGGACAAGACAGGGTTGCTTGTTGGCCAAGTTTACTTATTTCTCCCTCCCTTAGGCTCACAACCACTCGGTCGAGAGAACCCCTCTCTCCACATGTAACCTGGCCCCCGCGCTCTATATAAGGGGAGCCAGGCCACCATTCCAATGGGACAAAACCTGAGAACACCATTCGGGCTCTCGTTCACCTGAGTCCTACCTCTTTCCCTTAGCTTACACACCCCATTGTAAGAACTTTAGAGCATTCAACCGAGGAACACGAACTCGAATCATATCTGAGACTGGACGTAGGGCTCCGGCCTGAACCAGTATAACTCTTCGTGTCTTTGAGTGCTACCATCGTTTTCCTAGAGCAACGCAACACACATATAAATTCACTAGTCGGTCCACAAAACACCGACACAAAGTCACACAAAAACATGGAGTAACTTTATAAATGCAATAAGAAGATGAGCAAGAGGACCTAAATTCTGCATAAAGATTTTTCCCATAATATCACAAAGCAAACCATCAGTACACCTTGGAACTTTGCCAAGATGTTATGCTTTCGGTTTGTAAGAAAGATATATGGTCCTTCGAATACTTGTTGATTGTCGGAGAAGAAACGCATATGTAAAAAGTAATAAGATGTTTGTTTTGAGGAACCGCCACATTATGATGAGGTGGTGCATCATGAGTTTATACTAATTTGGTGAAAAGACTCCATTTCTCATGTTTGTACTAATTTTTAGCTTACGAGGGAGTTGGTGATGGACCAACTAATTCTATACCACAAACCAAACAAAAACGTAAGGAGTGAGAATATGATAGAACTAGTTCATTACTTTTCAAATAACTGAGACCTAGCTAGTGCGATTGAATAAAATAAGTGTTTCTTGTTCCTTTCCAAATGTCCGAGGACTAAGGAAGCCTCTACATGAGAGGAATGTTGAAGCATAAGTGAATTGTCCATTGTTCACTATCAACTTAAACTTTTAAGTTGAACTCATCGATAGATGCAACTCAATAACCATAGATATTCATAGGTGTGAGTGTGTATATGCATCTAGTGGTGGTGTGCGCATGTGATAATGTGTGTGTGGCTGGGGGTGGGAGGGGGTAAAAAAACATAAGGTTGTCATCAAGTTATGATACACTCTAAAGTTCTAACAGCATGTTTGGATCACCTAGCACTAGCTGTTAATCCACTACTTATTAGAACTAATTGTTAGATGACCAAAGTTTAGTCCTATACTGTTTGGATACATTGACTAGTAGCTAGTAGTATTCCTAGACAAAGACTCTTATGCTCCTGGGAGAGGAGAGAGAAAAGGGGGAGATAGCGTAGGGGGAGGGCAGTGATGCCATTTCTCAATCCAGTGGCTCCTTTTAGTCCTATTAGCTAGATATGGCCAACTAATGGACTACTAGTTGTTAATTGAGGTACGGTGTGTGGACTAAAAATTAGTTCACTCATTAGTTCCTCTGTTTGGATGGCCTACCACTAATTTTTAGGTGACTAACAATTGGTCCTGGCATGAAAGAGGCTCTTAAGTCCAGCAGCTATGTTACCGTACGTTTTTGTTGCTCTACATATAGATGGGTCCATCCATTCTGGAGACCAGAAAACAGCTTCGTTCCAGAGGTAGCCGTCCTCTTCTCCCACAAAGCTGACAAGCTGATCGATGGCTGCCACTTCTTCCTTTGGCGACGACGCTGACCTCATGGTTGCCGACGACCTGTACTTGATAGCAGTTTTCCAAGGAATAAACAACCAAGCAGACGCCACCGGGCTCATGGCGATATCCGACGAGGAGTACGCTGCGGAACTCCAGCTCCAAGAGGTGATTGTTTCCTCCGCCATGGCGGTGATTGTTAATTCTGGCATGGCAGCGACTGCAGCACAATCATCGCTCATGCCGCAGCTTGATAGCGCCGTCGTCGTGCACACTGCCAACAATGACACAGCAGCTGCTGAGACGCCCGTGCTTGCCGTAGCTGAGTATAGCTGCTCCTCCTCCTCCTCCTCGCCTCCGCCACCTCTTGCAGTTGCAGCCCCTGCCACCGGGGAAGACGACGCAACTGCAGTGGCAACTTGCAAGATATGCCTGGACTACGTGCCACCGTCGCACGTGCACCACGCAAGTCGCGGCTGCGCACACGCCTTCTGCACAGCCTGCCTCTCCGGCTACATCAGCGCAAAGACCCAAGGCGGCCGCATCTCCGACGTCAAGTGTCCGGGGGACGGGGAGGACTGCTGCAACGTCCTTGACCCCGAACTCTTGCAAGGCATCATATCCGGCGAGGCTTTCGAGGCCCTGTGCGCCGCACTGTGCAGGTCTATGGTGGAGGGGGCCGGCAACTTTTGGTACTGCCCCTTCAACGACTGCTCCGAGATCTTGGTGGACGATCGCGGCGGCGACGTGCCGGAGTCGGAGTGCCCGGCGTGCAGGAGGCTGTTCTGTGCACGGTGCGGTGTGCCATGGCACGCTGGCATTAGCTGTGCCGAGTATGGGCAATTAGCACCTGGGGACAAGGGGAAGGAGGACTTAGTGGTGCTGGAGATGGCCAAGGGGGAGAAGTGGAAGAGGTGCCCCCGTTGCATGTTCTTGGTCGACAAAAGCGATGTGTGCACATGACTTGCAGGTGAAACTAAATCTACTCCGTTTGTTGCTAATTTAAGACCTAAGATGTTTTAGTTTTTAGTTCTGTCGTTCTAAATCAAACTTTTAGGTTCATAGAAAAAAATATAGCATTATCTACAGTAATACAAATAAGTACGCAATTAGGATATATTCCTTGGTAGATTTAATGAAACTAATTTGATGTCATAGATGTTGATACATTTAATTTTTCGATAAACTTGATCAAAGTTAAAAATATTTGATTTAGGTACTTTAGATTGGATGGTGTAACTTCGAGCAGTTAATTTGCTTTCTTGTACATACATCAAATTGATAGAAAATTGTTTTCAAGGCAACATAACTTCTTGAATTCATTATGTAGGTGTGGCTTCCAGTTCTGCTATGCATGTGGCGAGCCGTGGGGGCAATCTCATCATTGCAACACGGCGTGAAAGCTGATTTTGCGCATAATCCGGCAGTGGAAAGAGAATGAAGTTCCACGATCCATGCAGTCAAACTATTTTTAGTTATATATTGGCACATGCAGCCAAACTATTTCTCGTCGTACATGGCACTGCCGCAGAAGTAAAAACTAATAAGTGTAGTTCAATAACACATGTAGTCAAACTATTTTTTATTTTATGAGCTATGTATGTCATTGTGGCGGTACTACATAAATCTCTATCACAATTTTTTAACTAAATTATGATAGAGATTTTTATAGTAGTGCTATAAAGACATACATAGCTGATAAAAGCAAAAATAGTTTGACTGCATGTATCATAGGCCTACACATAAAAGCAATTATGTGTAGGCCTATGATACATCTTGATCAAACTATTTTTGCATTTATGAACTTTGTATATCTTTATTGCACTACTATAGAAGTGAAAGAAACTGTCTTCGTTGCAGTATTACAAAAATCCCTATCGGATACAATCAAAGGCTGCTAAAACGGTTCGTGAATCTTAATAACACAAGCGGCTCAAAAGCCGGTTCTCACAGTACAGTACAATAAAATGCAATCCCAACCTAGAACCACATTACAACAGGTTTTTGGATCTTAGTATCACAAGCGGCTCAAAAACCTCTTCTCATAGTAGTACAATGAAAAGCAATTCCAACCTAGAACCACCACTGCTACTACAGGTTTTTGAATCTTAGTGCCACAAGTGGCTTAAAAACCTCTTCTCATAGTAGTACAATGAAAAGCAATTCCAACCTAGAACCACCGTTACTATTTTCATCTGCCTCTACAAATGACCTAATCTTTAGAGGCGGCTCTAGATGCAGCCGCATCTATAAATGGATTTCTAGAGGCTGCTGGATCTAGAGCCGCCTCTGAAAATCGATTTGTAGAGGCGGCTAGATTTAGGGCCATCTCTAAAAATAGGTGCAGCTTAGTAAAATTTGAATTTTGTAAGTGGCCTCAGATGGAGAAATGGCAAAAACTAAATTTATAGATCTCGAAGAGTTATACAATTTTATAGTTGACAACTTTTTCATTTAAAACCATTTATCTAAGGAAAATTATGTTTGAATTTTTCACATTTGAAATTCAGTTTTTTCAAATGATCTCGGATGGAGAAATGACCAGAACCAAAGTTGTAGATCACGACGATATCTACAACTTTATAGTTTAAAACGTTTTTATTTACATTCGTTTAGCGTCCCAAATACACATTTTAAAATCCCGAAAAGGGAATACGAGGAGAATGAATATGGCTTATGGACATGACTGTCATTTGGGTGGGGTGATTAGAGAACTTACAAGCGAGGCAATAGGTCGGCGGTTTGAATCCTAGCTAGCGTGCAGCGTGTGCTTTTTTCGCAAGGCTTTTTTTACTATTTTTGGCCAGATTTATGATGTTTTGGATGATTTCTGAGAAACGATTTGTAGAGGTGGCTATTGTTGCCGGCCGCCTCAAGACATCCTATTTCTAGGGCTGGCTGGGCAGCCGCCTCTACAAATCGATGATTTCTAGTAACGGAAGAATATAGGCGGCTGGCCCAACCACCTCAACAAATGCGGCCTATAGTAGTGCGTCTGCCCCTTGGCCCGACTCAGCCGCCTGCAGCCATTCCCGCTGCCTAGCCGCACCCTCAGCCCTGCTCGGGCGCCGTCCTACTCACGCCGCCGCCTAGCTGCGCCACCCGCCCCTACTAGTGCCGCCTCTACCCTGCTGCTCGCCGCCACCTAGCTAGCCACGCCGGCCTGCCCTGCTCGCATGGAGGTGGCGTGAGAGAGAGACAGACAGAGCGAGCGGCGGCTCTCTCGGTGGGGACGAGCACGTTTGGCCAATTTGAGAAAGCGAGCAAATCCCGAATCTTGCTTGAATATTTCCTCTCAGGAACCGCTCCATTCTACTCGTTTCGCAACCAAACATCCATGAAAGCGGGATGGATCGGTTCCATCCCGGTCCGCTCCTCAACCCAACGCATCATAAGTCAATCGACTAGCTCTTATGCTTACTGAAGAAGGTAGCGTGGAAGGACAAACGAGCACACCCTTTAAATCATGGCCCGGTGACAGACAATGACATCAGCTTTCGTAACATCGTCTTTTCTTACAACGGGTGACTGCGTAGGCTTTAATAAATAGTTGTGATGCACGAATTTTAATTTGGAGAAGAAAATATACAAGAAACTGTAAGTACACACAAGTTCTATTGCATGTGTTAATTAATATGCTAAACACTCCATGTGAGAATCGAAATATTTATGTGTTAACATTCGTTTTAATTTAGAAGTCAGCTGATGATCATGGTAGCCCTGCAAATGAAAAATATCAATTACATGTACATGACCCCCTGGTTAGTCTTGCACGCTGCCATCAACCTACAAGCAAAGCAACTGGCCGGCAGTTACAAGTCGCAAGCACACTATCTCAGCCACTAATTTGGCCAGGTTCCCGCAGTGTGAAGCCGTGGAAGCGCACTCTCTTTTGCCTTTTGTTTCGAAGAAAGCATCCAGGGAAACACAAAAGAGGCATTCGTTGCTTGCCAGAGAAGATACATACATCGTCCTTCCAATATTCATTGCTTGCCAGAGAAGAAATTAAATGCATTTGTAAGAAGCTAAGTAATCTGTAACTGTACATCTATCTGTATGAATATCCAAGTGGGCACTAGCTATATATGAGAAGATTATGCTATGTCAAACGGAAAATCTACATTTCATTAGGCCCTTTGAGAAAATTCTTGTACATATATGTTAATCAAAAGAAATAAGAAAAATCTAATTAAGTGGACCCGGTCAGAATGTGGCTTCGATTAAAAGAGTTTATATCAAGAACAACAACAACAAAAAAACAACTCAAATTAAAAAAAATCAAAGAAATTTATCAATTGGATTGTATAGGACTCGAATTATTCCGCGACACAAAATAGACATATATCTATATAGATTCCAAAGAAAAGTTATTTGAAGCTAAGGCATATATATATATATATATATATATATATATATATATATAATCTAACCAAGTCACCCAAACTCCAACTAAAACTTTACTCAAATAAACCTATACATAGCTATCTAGGAGCCTGTTTGGTAGTGCTCCTACCGCTCCACGTGAGAAGCCGAGGAGCATTGACAAATGCCTCCGCTCCCCGCTTCCCCCTTCGTAATCGCTCCCACAACTCCTCTTGTTTTGCACTGCGTGTGGGGAACACAAAAACCCCCCCCCCCCACGCTTCGCTCCGCCTCCGCCTCCCCGCCCCTCTCGCCGCCCCCCATTGCCATGACCCTCCTCCTGCCACGCTCTTCCTCAAGTCGAGCCGCCCTTCTTCCCTCATCCGCCACCTTTCTTTCACTGACTTACCAGATCCATCCCGTCGTCGCTGCGTTCACCAAGATCTGTGGTGCTCCTCCTCCATGGCCATGGTGGTGCCCCTTTCCATGGTCTGCGCCTCCTCCTGTGCTGCTCGCCGCTTTGCTCTTCCTTCACTGCTGCTGGAGCTGGAGTTGTCGTGCGAGCGCTACCAAGTGTCGGGTTCATGATACCCCGGGTATTTCAAGACACCGATAAGTTAGCCACTCGGGCAGCCCAGCCAACAAGAACCTAACCGCCACGGCCAAACAAAGCCACACGGGCCCTAGGACACACGCCAGAGCAAGTGGTCCACCACGACCTCTCACCTCTCTTTCCGCTGCACGTGATGCAGCAGCGTAGACCTCTCCTCCGTCTCGACCCCTGGGAGGGATGAAAAGGAGTCAGGTGCCATCAAGTACACCTGACCTGACAAAGACAGGCACGCTCCCCTCACTCCGCCAGGACTAAGGGGACAGTCATCTCAGGGCCGACGCCATCCCTGCACGCCTCTGCGCAGACAAGACAACACCTCGGGGTGGTGACGACTTGTACAACACCGCACCATCTAAATCCAGCCCAAGAAGATGGGCATACGGCTCCACCCACTATGGGATGGGGCGCACGTCCCCGGCCATGACTTTCATGACCGGCCAGGACACCAGAAGCTCGACCTCATAATCTGGGGTCCAGGCCATCGGCTTCACGACCTGCAAAGGCAACCGATGACCCAGGAGCGGCTACCTTCTCCCGCACTGTCGCCACGACGCCACCAGAAGAACAGAAGACAACGACGAAGGCCACGGCAAGATCACGTCGCCCAGGACAGTTGGCGAACCACCTCCGTTCCAACAATGTCGCTGCGGGCTGGCACTGTAGCATCACGCCACGCCACGACGTGCGAACAAGATCATGACGATGACCATACCAGAACCTGCCATGATGCCAGGACAAGACAGGGTTGCTTGTAGGCCAAGTTTACTTATTTCTCCCTCCCTTAGGCTCACAACCACTCGATCGAGAGAACCCCTCTCTCCACATGTAACCTGGCCCCCGCACTCTATATAAGGGGAGCCAGGCCACCATTCCAATGGTACAAAACCTGAGAACACCATTCGGGCTCTCGTTCACCTCACTCCTACCTCTTTCCCTTAGCTTACACACCCCATTGTAACAACTTCAGAGCATTCAACCAAGGAACACGAACTCGAATCATCTCTGAGACTGGACGTAGGGCTCCGGCCTGAACCAGTATAACTCTTCGTGTCTTTGAGTGCTACCATCGTTTTCCTAGAGCAACGCGACGCACGTATAAATTCACTAGTCGGTCCACAAAACACCGACACAAAGTCACACAAAAACATGGAGTAACTGTATAAATGCAGTAAGAAGATGAGCAAGAGGGCCTAAATTCTGCATAAAGATTTATCCCATAATATCACAAAGCAAACCATCAGTACACCTTGGAACTTTGCCATGAATGTTATGCTTTCGGTCACCAAGCATATCCGATAGTACCAATAGTCTTTATCTTTCGGTCACTACTAATCAATCTTCATGGTAAAGATATTTAAATTCATCATGGTAAATATATATATTGATTCATTAAATTAAATCAATCCGAATAAAGCTTCAGCCAGGTTCGCGCAATGTGGAGCGAGCGAAGAAAGTCAAGCTTTTGC